GTGAGACGTGTCGTTTACCAAAAGAATATGCCCGATTCAATTCCTGGGATTGCCCATAAAATGGACTGGACAGCAGGGATGGGGACTTCCAAGTGGCACTTCCTGCTCAAAGCAAAATGTGAAGGCCTCCTGACTTCTTTTGTAACAACCCTCTCTAAGGGGATGTACACAAGTAGAAGGGAGACTTCCAGTTTCTTCTGATTTCCTTTTTATTATTAGTATTAAATGAGAATTGTATGGCTTGGTTTGTCCTGGGATTCAGGAAGCTTTTACAACCTAGTCCTAAGGTTTTTGTTAGTTAGCTGTACTGTGGACCTTCAGGCAGCTGGAATTCTCTGGGGCCTTTTGGATCACCGATCATTCTGCAAAGGCAGAAATACTTGGAAGAAAGAGCTGCTTTTCTAAATCAAGTAAGTGTCTTCATTTTTGCTGCCTTTCTGTACTACAAGTGATAAATGTCATTGCACTTAATTCAATTCTTCAAAAAGCCCTCTGGTTTATGAATGTGGGATATTGTTCTTCTGTACCCACAGTTCAAAATTTCAGGAAATGGCCTAATATTACTGCACAATATCGTGCCCACGCTGCCATCAGGAAAAAGGATGCTGATCTTTATACAGCAAAGGACAGCCTGAACGTTGACAACACCCATGGCAGCATTCAAGAGGGTCTACGGGCTACCCTTTTCTGCTCACTACCATTCACAAAGTGACACCGCACAAGGGAAAATCCCAGAAGCACTTTCCTTTTTTCAGCAGCTAACCACTTCTTATCTATATACACAGCAATTGTCACGAGTGCTTTTTGACAAGTGTGAATGGTAGAAGAGAATATCCTAACGCCAGAAAAAGATTCTTTTTCACGTCTGTTTGACCAGGAAAGAATTTAAAAGTTCTCCTCCTGAGAGTCATTTAATTCGGTTCTGACTGGCAGGGTTAAAAGTTTGGATCTCCCTTCTCCTCCTCTCAGGCTTGCAAGAAAGTTAACATTCAGAACATTTGTGCTAATAAGAAAGCCAGAAACTCTGAGGTTGTTTTTTTTTGTCTCTCAAATGGCAATTTTCAAAATCATTCATAAACACCCCACCCTGAAGCCTGGATTTCTTTAAAAAAATTTTTTTTAAAGGATCTGGAACTAACTGTTCTCTTTCAAGATAAGCATGTTTAGTCTTTTCCATGTATTTGATCTGTTTTAAATCTGCAAACAGAAAAGGCTGTTGACGTCTACAATGGAGAGTGGGTGGTGGGTGGGTTTAAAACAGTTTTACATTTAAAAAAAACCCCATAACTCAAATCTCATTTGGCCAGGCTTCCCCAAATTTGGCACAGAGAAAGAACAGACATCCGTGCCAAATTTGGTGCTGATCTGCATGCACTTTCAAAGTTACAATGTTTTGTTTGGGGTGCCCTATTTGTTGAGTTGCCTTATGGAATGGTGAATCGAGCTGTTGAACAATATCTAAGGCTGCACTCTTGTGCAGCAATAATGCTCAGGCAAAAGCTGCTGTAGATGTGGCTTTATACTCTTGTTTTTATACCTTTTGCTGAGCCTGAGCATCCATGTTTTATTTCATGGTCCACCACTTGTTAACTCCCCCCTTGAGGACTGTTTTGGTGCATTTCTCCATTTTATCATTAGATGTTGTTGGACTTGAACTCCCAGCATTCCTCACCATTGATTGTCCTGGCTCATGCAAGTTGGATTCTAACAATGTCTGGATCCCAGCTCTGGTTTAGAGCTGAAATAGGGTTGAGCAAATGAAATCAGTAGGATTTTATTTAGTTTGTGGCTGACATATCATTTCCCTCATCATTAGGCATCCTTCAGTCTCGAAAGAGTATGGTAACATGCTGTGTATGGAGGACTTGGAACAGCATCTTGTGTGGCTGAGGAGGCCAATTCGAGAGTGACAATCCCTTCCATACTGAAGACAAATCCTATCTGTCCCCTGTCCAGCTCCCTCATTTTGCTGCTTTTGTGACTCCCTCTTTGCCTCAGCCTGCTGGACAAGGGTCTCTTCAAATTGGGAGAGGCCATGATGCACCGCCAGCCTCCAGGCTGAACGCTCAGATGTCAGGGATTCCCATCTGTTGCGGTCCATTTCCAAGGCCTTCAGATCCTGCTTGCAGATATCCTTTGATCGCAGCTGTGGTCTCCCTCTGGGGCGCTTTCCCTGCACTAATTCTCCATACAGGAGTTATTTCGGTATCCAACTATCAGCCATTCTCACGACATGCCCAAGCCAATGTAGACGTTGCTGTTTCAATAATGCATATATGCTAAAGATTCCAGGACTACTGTATTTGGAACTTTGTCCTGCCAGGCGATACCAAAAATGCGTTGGAGGCAACGCATATGGAAGGTGTTCAGCTTCCTCTCCTGTCATGCATAAAGGGTCCAGGACTCACTGCAGTAGGTCTACTCCATAAAGGGCTGAAGAATATTTTCATCCCATTTTGTAGCCCCTCAAATTACGTAAGAGACGCTGGAGGAAAAGGTTGCGTGACTTCAGCTCAGCATTATTAGAATGACTGATGATGAATCAACAGTGACCTGTTTAAGCAATCCCAATGTTAAAATCATGTGCAATGTTCCTGAGATAACACACTCTCTATTCAGCTGTGATGAACAAATTCAGGTATTGCTACTTCTGTAAAGTCAGTAGCGCGTGAGTAAATAGTGACCATTTAAGCATGGGAGTAAAAAAAACAAGCTTGATGAATTGGAAAAGAAGAGACTAATTTATGCAGAAAAAACTACTTTCAGCACTTTTCTACATGAATAATAAAGTCTGGAGAAATCCCCTAGAGATCGCTACCATGTTAGTAATAAGAAACGCCTGAAAGCAGTTTTGGCTCATGTATTTCAATAGTCTTCCTTAACAACATGAGTTAAAAGGGCCTTGTGAGAAGAGCTATTGTAGACTTTTTAAAGGTTTGTATGCAAGCTAGAAAAGAAAGGAGTAGAAAAATTACTTTTTTTTAGGACACAAAGTTCCTGGAATTTCTCACCGAACACAACCACTGCCAGGTTAGGTGGGAAATTCTAGGAGTTATCGCCTGAAAATGAAGTTTTTCAAGCTTTGCTAGGGAAGAATATTGTTATGGCCCATAATGGTTTGTTATGAAAAACAGGGCTTATCCGAGACAATCTGTTGTCCGGGGACTGAACAGTAGATCCTCCCCAATCATAGACAGGTATCTTGTTGTTCGCTCAACTAACACAGCATAAGTCATTGCACTATTTGGTGATATGTCTTGTTGCTTGACTGATTTTTGCAGTTGCTTTCAAAATTGGCACAACTGATATGCAGCCAGCTGTGCAAACAGGAATCCTGCAGTATGCAGAAATCCTGAACAGTATACTGACCAAGGTGTAATAGTTGTTTTCGCAGCAACAGAGTTGACGCAGGAATATTATGCAAATCATATGTTTTGGAACTCTATGATTGGACTCTATGCTTGCTGGGTAAGTCCGGGACACGTAGTTCCAGAAAAGAAGCATTCAAATTCTGATGTTATGGATCTTTCCACAGAACTTAAAACTTTTACACTAACAAGATGGAATCTCCTATTGTATGCGTTGGTCATTGGTCCCCAGGAATTGGGATTATTTGGTTGGGAGCAAGAGGTTCTAGAGCCAAACTGGGATGTCCTATTAAGGCAGAGGTAAGCCACCACGTTGGCTTTCTTTCACTTTCAAAATTTTAAAATCTGAAATTCTTTCTGTCTCAAATATGAAAAAAAACACAAACATTTGGAAGCCACTTTTGCACTCAAACTAAATAAAATAAAATTTTATTGAAATAAAATTGCTGTCCATCTGCACTGCCCACATTCAAAACAGGAAGAATGTACTTAGGCTGGAGAGAAATGTGTCATACCTGTCTGCCATTTAATTCCTGAAGATGAGGAGTCTATCTTGAAAAAGAGCTAACACAACACTGATTTTGCACCACAAATGTGGCCGAATACACAGAGATTCAAAGCCAGATTTTAAAGAGGTAAGACATTACCGTTCTCTGCCTGTCAGTTTGACTGAGGAGAACACACACACACACACACACACACACGTGTATTCTCAAATAAATTCCATCCCAAATACAATTGTGTGTGCGCGCGCACACATGTGTATATATAACTTTGGATGAATTCTTATCAAAACCAAACTAAGACTAAATTTTCACTCACCTCTAGCTGTGGACATTAAATTAAATGTATGTATTCATTTACACATGTCCTGCACAGGCCTTGATTGCCACAGAAAGGAAAGGAAGTCAGGGTCTGCTTCTGCTTCAGTGCCCATAATTGGATCAAAGTTTTAAAAGGAACAAAACTTCTGTTGTTGGTATGAGATACCCGTCATATCATATTCCACATTTTAAGATGATAACATGGGAAAGGATCAGAATTAAATGTATGTATTCATTTACACATGTCCTGCACAGGCCTTGATTGCCACAGAAAGGAAAGGAAGTCAGGGTCTGCTTCTGCTTCAGTGCCCATAATTGGATCAAAGTTTTAAAAGGAACAAAACTTCTGTTGTTGGTATGAGATACCCGTCATATCATATTCCACATTTTAAGATGATAACATGGGAAAGGATCAGACATCACACTCCTAGGCTGATTGGGTTTGACTCATAATGATTTGACAGCACTCACAGAAACCAAATTCCTCCCCCAATGCTCCCAATTCACCTTTCTTTAGTTGGAAGCTCTTCCATCACCAACCAACCAACCAACCAACCAACCAACCAACCAACCAACCAACCAAAACCAACCAACCAACCAACCAACCAACCAACCAACCAACCAACCAACCAACCAACCAACTCGATCTATTGATCATACAAGACATTGTTTTTTAAAAGAAAAGGAGTTACCCTCAAGCAAGATACTTTCCTCTTCTTTTCCTATCTGGTGTACAGGATATTAAACACAAACATTGTTGACAAAATTAACAAAAATCGCTGTGGAGACCGAAGCTTTCTTGGCTTACCTACTGCTTTTAGGGATGCATACTTGTTCAGCTCCTTTCCCGGTGGCTGCTGTTCATATGGATTTGTGATCTGTCCCATGCTTGGGTATGAATGTGGATGTGTCAGCTGTGGGAGAAGTGGCGATGCAGGCACTGCATTGTTCATTTGTGTCGCATCTGCATAAAAAAAAAGAGAGATGAGAGGCATCAGTTCACAGAAAAGAAATCTGATTCTGGGTTCAGTATTAGAATTGTTTACAATCCAGAATCCAAGATTCAGGAAGTCCGTGTTGGAGATCTCTGTATTCCTTCTTCCTCAGAAGTGTTAGTATATCGATAGTCGGAACAATAATGCACGTAGGCTCTTTCTACCTACTCCCACCCTTCTTGCTTATGACACATGGAGCAAAGCCAACCTAAATGTTGACCTAAATGACGTTTATAGAAATATCACCAGTGAATGATTTGTCAAGGTACTTTTACGTGACTTTGCCAAAAGTGCAGAGAGCCTAGTCCCAAATGGCTTACGTGGCTAAAGCAGAGGGCCCTGGGAATTTTTTTTTTTTTAGTTGCCTAGTACATCCCATGATGAAATCAGAACTCTGAGTGAAATCACATGCTAAAACAAAAATGTGTTTTCTTCTCTTACAACATTATATCTTCAAATAATGTGAATCTTTCAGTTCTACATGCATGAGACATCAGAGATGCAAACTAAGTTGTGATAATCCCCAGCTAACCAATTACAGACAAAATACAAAACCTGCTAATTTGTCAAATATGGATCGAGGCAAGTTCAGGTTAAAGGATACACCGCTTCTACATCACCATAACCTCATTTAGTGCAAGGCTGCCATATGATCTGTTTAGCTGAGTTTTGCTCAGGTTTTTAGAGGTGCCCATTTGGATTGATAGGGAGCAAGATTCCAAGTTTCTGTTTAGAAAAAAAAAAGTAAGTCTCTAGCCCTTACAGAACGGGAGACATAAAGCAAAAATGTGCAGTTACTGTTTTGATCAATTGTTTGTGAAAAGCAAGCCTCCCGGTGTGATTATTCATTGCACGCAGCCCTCTATATTTTCACAGACATTCGCAGAAATATCAATAAAGGTAACTGCTGCAATTCTGAAAGCATATTGTCCTCTTACAAATCTCTTTTCAGAACTGCCCCCTTTTTCCCCCCCTTATGCACAAAGTTAAGCTATAGCCAGCTCACCCATGCTGGTTGGAAGATGATGGGAGCTGTCACCCAGGAATAGAACTTTCTGAAGTTTCTGCAAATTCCCTGCTTTGCCAAAGGGTCGAACTTAAAAGTCCTTTCCGTACTTCTATGGTCTTCCAGAAACAACAGTCAGTATACAGTCGCATAGCTCAGTCTATACAACAGGACTGACTTCCCTGGCCACAGAACACTGTTGCTAAGAGGTTCTTTTTCTGTTTTGGGATGCCCTTAACATCATATCACTGTGCACGACTCACGTGCAACTCGTAATAAAAAATAAGGAACTATTTAATTAGCAACTCTCTCAGTGACATTACTTTTGTTGCATAGCAAGAACTATGCAACGGTATCCTTGGTTAATTTCCAGTTTATTTCCACAGGCTTTGCACCAGGATTGCAGTTCGAAGAGTAGCTATTTATTATTCTTATTTATTTTATTTATACCCTGCCGATCTGGTCATTTTGACCACTCTAGGCGGCTTACAACATAAAAACATAACAAATATATATATATAAAGAAAAAATATATATATAAAGAAAAAAATGACATGAGATTTCTTGGTTTCAAATACGTTTGGTAAACACACTTCATCTCACTATCTGTGTTTAGTGACCCATCCAACGGATGGAATATCTTACGGTAGAAGCTGAAAGAGGATAAAGAGGTACAACGTTAATGTAACATCCTGATTAACAATAATTCTGGCTGCCTCAAAGATGTCCAAACGAGGTTAAGTAGCAATATTTATACCTCACCAGGACAGTTTAAGGCCCCCAATCACTCTTAGGTCAGGTATGGTTCCCGTACAAATCACTGCAGTTTGTTTCAATCATTTGGAGGTTCAAAATGCCGAAATGTGAACAAAAGGACTTGGCACCAGTTACTGTGGTAAAAGAGGGAAATGCCGAAGCAGAATGAAATTGGCAGTCGAAGTCTCCACGAAAGCCAACATCTCTCCTGGAAACTCTGATTGCCGAGCCCTGGGGGAGGGCTCAGATCGACTTGACTGGACTTTATTTATTCCCCATCCATTTGACAGAACGACCATTTGGCACCCAGGCACGACAAATGGAGGATGGTACATAGCATTTTATTGCATTTTCTTCTCAGTATAGCCATACTTAAATTTTAATTACCCTTTGGAGTGGAAGTCTGTGTGAGAAAGCAGGATGGATGACTGATTCTCTTGCACAGAAATTCATTAGACAGATCAAAGTAGTGCCAAGAACTACTTCTCTGTATTGTGTTCTTCTTTTAAATTCCTGCTACTAGCCTTCATTTGCCCAATCAGGGTTGTTGTTGGTTTTTTTTTTTACATGCTCTGCATTCCTTGTGTACATTTCAGACTGAATGGGTGCCTAACTTGCAACCCCCTCATTGGGCCCAGTCAGTCTGTGGGGATACTTGGTCAGGTCAGGCTACCGATTGGGATCATGTGGGATTGGGATCATGTGGGGAATACTCGTATCTTCCACAAGCCCAACCAACTTTTTCCTTTCACACTCCTTAGCACAGAAGGAAGGAAGGAGGCAAGCAAGCAAGCTGTCTCAAGCTAACTGCAATGCATAGTGCCTTTCTGTCACAGGCCAAAGCCCCTTTACTTTTGTTTCTTCTGATCCAGAAGTACACAAACATTTAATCTGTTCCAATGGGCCCCGAAACTAACCGTTGAGTGATGTTTCCCTATGGCCGGCAGCCATTTTCGCGCCCTCCCCTCACTTAGCGAGGGCGCGAAAACGCTGCGCGTGGCCATTTCGGAGCTGCCCCTTTACTTTTGTTTCTTCTGATCCAGAAATACACAAACATTTTTAGAAACCTGAGAACAAACAGATTCAGGCTATTTCCAAATACAACTGTGAAAGTTTGGTCCTGCATTATATGGCAAATATTTGGATACCAGTCAGGTTGGATGGTAGTTGCACACTCCTAGATTCAGATATTAAAATAGATGTTAAAGTGTGCTCTTGCACAATTGCTCTTCATTCTCCCTTGGTGAGAACATTAAGATTTTACACAGGTGACATCTTGCCCCACTGAAGTTCAGCTACTCCATCCCAATACATACGTGATTCTGGGAGGAAACGTCAACGCTTATATGGGCCCTAACGATCTAATCTCAACATAAAGCATGCCCTCCTACACTTGGCCTAAATGGTCTTCCATTTATTCAGCAATTGAAAGATAAGAAAGCAAATTATGCTGGGCTCCCCCTACATCAAATGACCACCAGGCTTAACCTGCACATTCTAAATGGTGCATATGGGAATGACTACCCAGCTGAATTCTCCTTCCTGGCAGGAACTAGAATGAGCCAGACAGACTATTTAATCATTTTATCAAATGTAATTCCATTACTGAAGAATCTGGAAGTAGCCCCAAAAATTCCAAAGAAACCATCTCCCTGTCTCACTAATTATGAAAGCCCCTTTTCTTTATCTAAGAAGTGACAACCAATACCTACCCATGATACTCCCTGAAATGGACCCCAAAGATGGACCTGGATCTGTGGACTTTACTTGCATCTGACACCATACAAAGCATTAGGACATCTATAATGTACACGAGCAACTCAGTGGAAACTTATGAGGAGCTAATCTGTGAGCTGAAACAGTCTGTTACTGGTATGGCAGAAGCAAGCCAACAATAGCACTATCCAACTGGTGTACATATTACAAGGACGTACGTGAAGAACTTGTTTCCCCTTTGACTGGCCGATTTCCCGGCTGTACAGAGCAACGAGGTATGCATGTGCTGCTGTCTGACTACAATCCTATGTTCACACATAGTGTTGACAAGTTCTTTACTGCTGCAAGGGGCATTAGAAAAAGGACCCTAAAAGTGGATGAGCCTCTGTAGTTATTTCAATCACAACCCTTCTTTTATCCCTGCCCTTTGGGCTGAAAGGTAGTCAAGATAGGTTGGTGTCTCCGTTTGGTGTTATTTTAAGCTCCTTTTGTTCTGGACCTTTTCTGATGATCAATAAGAACCCTATCTAGATCGAAATATCTTGCTATGAAGATGACCCATTTCTATTTTGGGTTTCCGAAAACCTTTCAGTAGTACAGCTATTTTACTAACAAAAGTAATGAACAATGTCTTTTTTGTATATGAAATTAATGTAGCATTTAAAAAAAAGTCTCCACTTTCAAGTATAGAAATGTACAGTTTCTTTCATCTGCATCAGATTTGCACTAGCACAGTTTCTAAGTAGTTTGCACAGCTGACATGCAACCACACAAAGCTAGCAATACAAAGTGTGAGATCTGTGTGGTGTGTGTGTGGGGGTATGTGCTTTATAAGCACTTTTGCACATCCTTTGTGGTGAACATGTGAAGGTCTGGTTTATTTTTCATCGGGGTGAGAAGGTGGGACTTGGCTGACATTCGCATCGATATCTACTGCCCTTCACATTTCCAGGCACAATGCCTGAAGAAAGGTTATCGCTTGTAACAGAGTTAAAAGTGCAGTTCCATGCTGATACACCTGAGAGGGCCAGTCCTCCTTGTATAAGCTCCTTAGTGCTGTACTGTACCAACTTTTCATTTCCAATGCTCATTAAATCCTTTTGCTTTGCAAAGGAGGCTTCTATTTTACTCCCTCATTCTCGAAGCAAAACCTGTGATTTCTTTTCATACATGATCTGTGCTTTCTTTTCTCCCCCAACATCTTAACACCTTTGGGTGGCATTTTTCTCTCATTCTGATATTGACATCACAATAAAAAAATAATTAGATTGCTATAAGTGTTACACATAACTCCCACTGACATGTATATTAGTTCTTTGTTGGACATTATATTTTAGGATTGTAGATTAGGAATAAGGAAAAACGAACCTGTTTGAATTTAATTGCTCCTTGTTTTCCTAGCCTCTTTCCACAACCGTCTGCAAGATCAGCCACAAAAATAATTGGAACAAAGTGCATATACACTTTTCTGCTCATAAAGGAGTGAAATTC